GACATCGTGATAATCGCTAGTCGGTTAATTGTCGGGATTGTTCACTTGACAATGAATTTCCAGGGAAATTTCTCATCGAATGCATAATCCAGTGTGGTCACACGAGGGACAATCGTTGAGCATTGTGTTCCAAATGTCAAACTTGACAATTTATGCGTACTGTAAGCGGCCAAGCGATGATAACCTTTTGATTCAAACGTATCCATCGAACTGGAAACATACACAATAATTTGCCATCCTAGCATTGATCCGTAGCAAGCACACAAATCGCTCGGAAACACCGCGCGCACCTCAATTACAAATGAGCTCATAGATGGTCTGGACCATTATTCTGCGATGCACCGGCTCTCTAAGCATCATGCTAGTTAGCATTGAGCAGCTGATCAAGCTACGGTTATGGTGAGCAATACCATGGAGCTTACATAGTGATGTGAATCGCGGCCGAATAATAATACGAAGAGGAAGATGCCGCAGCTCACTCTCGGTATGTAACCATACTAGACTCCGCTTGAGAAGGTAGCAAGAATAGCATAGCATAAGTCATGATGAGTACAATATCGTAATGGGCAATATGTGAAGTCATCGCGAAATATATATATATATATATATATATCTATATATATTAGCAACAGTTTATGAGCTAGACATTAAGTCATTCAAAACCATGAAGGGTTAAATAGGAACACGAATATTTACAACGACAACTAGAGGTAATGAAACTCAATAAGAACTTTTTGCTTTTTTCACACGCCGTTTTTTCAATTTTTTCTTTTTATAGAGTTATTAGTTTTGGAATCGGGAGTTCATGCAGACTTGGATGCATTGTTTCCATTGTAATTGGTTTTGTGCCATGTTCCGAGTGTGGCAAACCATCGGCATTCTTCAACTTTCGGTCCCCAACCGGGAAGGCGTACCGCACCAGCAATTGATAGACAGGATGTGAGCGATTATTCTTCTTTTAGGCCAGGTGATCGGCTGGCCACCACGCGGCCTATTCCAATTCGGCCCTGTGCACACAAATAGAGCGCTGCGTGGCAATCGCTCGTCAGGCATGCGCAGGACATGGCCAAGCCATCACAACTGGCGCAATAGAACAAGCTCATGGAGCGGGAGATTCGTTTTGCCAAAGACGCGTTGTCTGATATCACGGTTGCGCATCCGATGTTTCCACCATACACGGGCGATCCTCCGCAGCCAGCCATTGTCGAAGGCCGAAAGCCTACGCATGTCGTCCACTCGAATCGGCCAAGGTTCACATTCATACAAAAGTATCGAGCGAATACAGGCATTGTAAACCCTACCTTTTAGAAAAATATGATGTCGCGACGACTCCAAAGGTGTTTCAAATTAACACAAGCCGGGCGAGCTTTAGCGATGCGAAGAGACATCTTTTCTCCAATGGTTCCGTCGTTAGAGATACTGCTCTTAAGGTAAACAAAAGTATCCACCTGCTCATGCCAAATGTTTTCGATGGCGAGCTGAGGAAGAGCAGTTTGCCAGTCCTAAGTCAGCACTTTGCATTTTGGGGGTGCAAAGCGCATACCATACTTAGACGCTTCAATCACCATTCGGTCAATGATCTGTGAGGGTTGTCACCATTGGTGACAGGAAAGACTGTGGAGAGCTTGCCGTAGGCTCTTACTCTGCTTGAGGTGTGGAGGTATAACACCCGAAGAATAGTGACGTACTTTTCAGGGACTCCGTTATTTACTAAGCAATGCCATAAGACAACTCGGTCTACAGAGCCGTATGCAGCCCGAATGTCCAGGAAGACGACGAAGTTGGATCTGCGGCATATGCAGCGGTGTCCAAGGAGCTGAAGAAGCGTGAAAATATGATCCAAGCAATCTCTACCGGGACGGAAACCAGCCTGCTCCTCCCGATAGTGCGCCTCGCGAGTTGGCGACAGTCTGCGCAACATGATGGATACCAGCAGCTCAGAGGCAACTGGTACCAGGCTGACTCCTCTATGATTGGCACATGAAGTACGGAAGCCTTTTTTGAAGACTTGGAAAATAACTGACTTTCCTCATAAAGTGGGGACTGTTTCTTCACTCCAGATCTTCATAAATAGGGATGTTAGCTGGGTGACGATTTTCGTACCACCCTATTTGAACAGTTCCAGAAAAAGGGTGCATGAACCAGGAGCCTTAAAGCGCTTCAAGTGTCTAATGTCAAGACGAACTTCAGATTCAGTGGGTACTTCGAGTGACGGCCCATGGCGCACTGCGGGGCGAGCTAAATACGAAAGTGGACGACGGGGAAGAACTGAACTGAGATTGGAAATGCTCAGCCCATCTGTTCATGCGCTTCTGCACCTTGGTGATCTGTGGTCCATCCGCCTCACAGATAACCTCGCTGACACCAGACTTTTTGTGACCTCTGGACCGAATGCGCTGAAACAACCTGTGAACATTTCCCGAGAGCGACATTTGCCCTCTCCAAGGCGCGTTGAGACCACCAGGCTTCACGATTACCGCGAAGGCTCCGTTTAAGTTGGCGGTTGATGGCGCGGCGAAGTTCATTGTGATCGGAGTTATATGGGAGAGTTTGACGGCGGTCGAACAGTGTCAGGGAGCGCGCGGAGATCCAACTTTTTGAGGAGCAATAAGTTAATCCACAGGCTTATTGACCAGAAGATAACATCACATTCTACACGAAATTCCAATGTAGATCGACGTCAGTGGGAGGAGCACAAGATAAGGCGTTTGCCAATGCGAATTGGTAGTTCGGCTGAGTCGACGGATCGGCTGCTAACTTGTTCGTGTCAAGCTTACAATGCTTCCGTTTGGGAGGACCTCCAAAGCGCATGCGAAAATTCGCACAAACTAGTGAGTGATCAGAAGCAAGGTAACTAGACCAAAATGATCTGCAGTCGTGTATGCTACCTCGCCACCTGGAACCGATTGCAATATGATCTATTTGAGACCAGGTGGCAGGACGCCTTATTAAGTGTCTGAAGTTGGTGCTTGCGTGACATAAGCCATGGTCGTCACACAAAGTAAGAAGCCTGGTTCTGCTATTGGAGCGATTCTCGTGCAGTGCGTGATGTTCACTAAGGTGAAATTTACATGTCAGCAGGCGATCGACGCGTGCATTGAAGTCCCCGGCGAGGACGGGGACATCTGATTTGGCAGCTTTGCACAAGAGCTGATGAATTTCGGAGCAAAAATCGTCCTTAATCGATTCACAGCTACCGTCGATAGGCGCATATGCGGAGACCACGAACAGGTTGCGCCAATTATCGCGGTGCCTGTAGACTCTGTAAGAACCGTTAAGTCGCACTGCACATAATCGGCTGTTAACTGGGATCCAGTCAAGCAGTGCGACCTCAGCTTTGCTGCTTAATGCGACACCTACGCCTGCCAAACCAGCTGCAACCGCTTCTGCGTCACCAGAAGGACACAGATGTGACCCTCTGGTTCGTCGGGGAAGTCAAGTTGAGCACAGTGCTTAGATCTTACAATCTAGTTTCAGAAAGGCAGCATGTATCAATAGCGAACGAGTCCAGAATGCGAACTAGACCGGCCTGTTGTCCCAATCTGCTTGTGAGTTCGAACATTGAATATTGCCAACCGCAATGAGAGTCCGGATCGAAGCATAGCCTCAGACTGGGCTTTGTGGGGGGCATCGAAACCGGTGTATGGGTTGAATTGTGGGTAACACTGGTTAATGACGGATATATGGTTGGCGTGTGATGGAAACTGGGAAGAGGCGACAGAGAGGGAGAGGAACAAGAGCGTAAGACTAAGTAGTAATGTGATCCATGGTTTCTGCAGCAGGCACGATACTACTCGGTTACCCAAACCTAAGTGAGGAGTTATCTTAGGGGACTCCACCACTAGCCTTTATCCCGATAGCCTACCCGCAACGCAGTGGGGCGAATTCAGGGAATCGCGCCCATTCGGAGCCGGTGACCGATTTCTCGGTTCATACGCCTTTGGTTTGGTAAGTCACTAAACCGGGGTCCAATCTACCCTATACTTTCAGTACAAGACTGGTGAAATACGATGTTTCATTGGGATAAATCAAGGAGCAATGGCTTTGTTTGGTGGCGAGTCACATCCGCCACCTCGCAGTGTAGTTAGACAGACATATGTGGCTTTTTATGGAGAGAACACTTGCCAGGTGAAAACCCACCACGTCCTGGGACACTGCCGCCGAACCATTTGCTGAAACGGGATAAACTCGAACCACCCAGCTGACATCACGAGGTTGTTCGGCCCGTAGCCTACTGGTAACAAGGTTGTCTCCTAATCTTGCGGCGCGAGTTCGAATCCGCTTATGGGGTTGGCGTCGTCGCTGTATACTCAGCCCAGGCGTGACTGGTGTTGGTCGCACGGCAGCGAAGCGCCGTTACGACGTACAGTTGACACACTGTACTAAGACAGAAGCTCAGAATGACCTCCAGTAGCTTTGTCACTATTTACATTGGGCTACGGATCTTTCGTTTAGCATAGTTTTAGCGACTATCATTTCTGAGTATTAACATTATAATCGAATTGGACCAGTTTACCGGGACAGCTTCCTCCTTCCATAAGTAATCTGTCGAACTTGCAAGTTGTATGCAGGGAATCGCATTTGAAAACGTAAGACGCTGCTTCCATCGGGTTACCCTTTTACAAAAACGTTTAGCTAACCTTAAGACGTGACCTCTTTACCACCGCTTCACATTACATTTATTCAACTCAGTAGCAACTGCAAAGCAAAACGGTCCAGTGTACGTGAAACGTCGTCCCACTCTCCAACACATCTTAGTGCACTCCCTCAACAGGCTATTTCGTGAGGTCATCTATGGCACAGGTTAGTGCGAGAACGAATTGCTTTTCCGCGAGCCCATCATTCGCGAGGAGGGTAAACTGTTCACCTGCACTAATGATGGATAATAGCCGCCAAGCTCCTAGGCATATGGAAGCATAGGTTATTCTTCCTTTTGTGCATGACGGTCGTGTGATGCGTTATCTGACAGTGACAAACTGGTTTACTTTCTGCCACTAGTTATGTGGTTTACAGTAGACTCTTACAACCACCCTCACCAGGATTCAATAACCCAGTTGGACCATCTTACTGGAGGAATTGAGGATGAGCTCCTACCGGTTAACCTGGAAAGTCCATTGATGGAAAAACTTGTAGGTATTCTGTTACACATTACTCGAGTGAACTGTTAAGATGGTTGCAAAAAATTACTTTGGAGAAGAGCCACCTCGAATAATAATGGTTGGCAAGCCATGCACTGGCAAAACGACGCTTGCCCGAATACTGTGCAACTTGTGGGGTTGTGATTATGTGAACGGTGAGAGAACTTCCTTTATTGTCAATTAATGATTTTGTAGCCTCAGATCTTGTTCAACGATGCATCGAAGAGAAATCTGGTCGAGGATTGGAAATCATTCGTCAATTGCAGCAAGGCGAGGATCTCTCAGATGCCACCGTATTCAATATTCTACACGAACACCTACAGTCACCAGAGTGCCGAAATGCTGGTTACATTTTAGACGGTATACCGAATTACAGCGAGAAATTATTGAACATTCAAACCCAGTTAGAGTTCCTGGCCAGGATTTATCCAACGCCATCCTTGTGGGTGATGATAGATGTGAGTGACGTTATGATTTGTTTCTTTGCTTCTAGACATTATCCGGACTTTTACTTTCAGTAAACTCTAAGTACATTACTACCGAAGGCATCAATGTGGCTAGGATTCTACTCATAAATTCGACAGCTGTTATGTCGAACGAACTGTTAGTATAACTTCATTCAGAACCCTCAACTGTTGCAATCACGCTCGACATGTACATTATTTTGCCACCCAAACTCCTAGTAAAGCTTCCTATTACACCCTCTGGTTTTGTATTTGTTACAACTAACCAACATACTGTCTGCTGAACCGTAACTTCCGACCGGCTGCCTGTGGTTACGTACACATCTTCTATCCTTGAGTAGTTCCCTCGCAAATTTACAGCAATCGCTTACGTGTTGGTTCTTTTACACAATTTTTGCTGAATGTTATGTAAGGATAAATGTTGGTAGCTGAGGTCTTTTAGTTGGTCGTCGATTTGTTCATTTCGCTCGGTTGTTTGGTAAGATACGTTTCGCCATCTGTCAGTCTAACGTTATGAATACATGGTTATGTGTGTGTGCAACAGAGCGTTGGCTGAGTTTCAGATTTTCGTGGATTCTTCAGTTACTCCCTTAGATTGGATATTACTCTGAAGCACTCGATATTCTCTCTCTGCACACAGGTTATTGAATAACTACAACCTGGCACTAGCCGTTGTGATTTGGTAATCGAGAAACCAAGACACGACAGAGCTGAACATTTCGATAATTATCGTGTTCCTTGTCGGGTCCTTGGATGCCTAGTTTAACTAGGCATAACATCATCTCTTACGGTGATATCTAGTTCCAAGCTAAGGATCCTGATATAGCCGTTATGTTTGTGGGCGGGTAGTAGCTATCCATTCCTTCTGCTGTCGTATCTACCATAGCTAGTAACCTCTACAGACTCCATCTTTTTATTTTCTGTACTGTAAGAGGAGTTTAACTCCGCTTGATTATCGTATGTCACCGACCCTTTGTACGATTCCGTGCCAACCACTGTGAATGTAACTCGAGCCGGTTGTTTTATGACCGTCGTAGATACCCGATCCGGAATTGCGAGCACGGTGGGAAGGTATGCGTATTGATTCTTCCACGGGCCAACTATACTCCCGGCTGAACTACGATCCATCTGTGGAACCATCTGGCCGATGCGATTTTCCCATCATCGACGAAGATATCAAAGCACGTTTGATGATAAGACATGAAGAGTTGCCTGAGAATCTGGATCTCCATTTCCGCTTTTATAACGAGAATATTCAGCAACCACTGGAAGAATTTCTCAACCGGTTCGAGTCTTCAACGGTGGTTCGTCTGGATGGAACACTCTGTCCAATGGGTTTATGTCAAGTAGGTCCAGTACAGTAGCTTCGTACTAGCATATCTGTTACTCAATGACCCTGTGTCAATATCTATATTAATGATAACTAATTGAAAGCTCATTCTCAATATTACGCCAGATTGCCTATACATGATCACAGTCATCTTGATAGCCGACGAGCTTACTTTCTCTTCGAATGTAAAAAAACCTGTACTTCTCTTCCAAACTCAATTGTATTTGCTCCTCCCTTATTCATTTACCAAAAATGAATACGTTTGGACATCACAGTCACGTAAACGGGTACTTAGGAGGATGTTCCCGTAAAGTAGATTTCTCAGAGGGACATGTAATCAACCTATTGGGGAAGGCATCTATCTATGTATTTATTATAATCCACGCTGATGAGCGTACATTGATGGGCCGAATTTTCTTGTTGTTGTTGCGCCGTTTAGTATTGTGCCACCCAATTGTTTATTACATGCGAATCTCTGTTGTTTTGCTATTTATCCAACTCCAATTTCCCTTGTTTGCCTTTTACTTTCTTTTTCGCGCAGTAATTGCTCTTCTCCCTAAAGGTATTCTCATATTTGCTCTCACGCGCAGAAGTCGAACGTGAGATCAGACTATTAAAATTGTATAAGACCGCATGAGCAGATAGACTTCCATTCCTTTTTCTAATCACGGGACTTGCTCTTGTGGATGAATTGCACAATTTGGTGGTGAACCTGTGGGAGCGGGAGCCTGTCCAAACAGACTGGAGCCGCTCCGTCATAGTCTCAATTTTTAAGGGGGAGGGCTCCTGTTCGTAATGCAGCAACCGTAGAGATATCAGTCTGCTCACTATTGCCTCTAAATTGCTTGCGCCTATCGTTCTGAATACGTTGACTGGCACTTAGGGAAGTCCTCTTCTTGAGAAGCAAGCTGGTTTTCCTCGAAATCTAGATTGCATAGACCACACACTTATTTTACGTCAGTTGTTGGCATACCGCCATCTTTATTTGCGACCCCACCTTTTCATGTTTCTCGACACCAAATCTGCCTTTGATTTGGCCGATCGATTTGCAGTTAGAGACTGTCTACACAGGAAGTGTTCGCGGTAAATACATAAATATTATCAGAGCGCTGTACATGCTTATTTCGGTCAAAGTGTGGGTTTACGACAAACTGTCGCCGCCCTTCAATATCTGTAGCAGTGTGAAACAAGCTTGTCCGTTGCCACCTTCCTTCCTTAACTTCGCCATTGACGAAGTCATGGAAACAGCCTCTGCTGGTGTGGAGCTGCTCCCAGGTGAACGACTTCATGACTTGGAGTATACCGACGACATTGCGCTCATCTATGACAGCTCACAAACGTACCAAGTTACACTGGGTAAATGAGCTCTTGATGTCAGTCGCTTCGGACTATGCTTTGCACGAACAAACTTCGTGTACAAAATAAATTGCAATAACTGTGAAAAGAACTTTATAGGACAGACGGTGAAATTTATCAACCAGGATACAAGAACATCAAAGGGCCTGCAGAATGCATTACGCATCGTCCTTGGTCTCATTGTATGTGGATGAGGAGCGACATAACTTCGATTGTGTTGTACTGCTTGGTTTGCTGCCCTGTGGGACTGCGACTGTCTGACGGCTCACTCACTCGCCCGGCCAACCGAAAAAATACGAAAAGTCAGAACTCGTTGGACTGAGAGTATCTGTACAGGATAGATCAAATCTATTTATTGGAAGCCGAAACACGCTAATTTTGGTGGTCACTCACTCTTCTGTGTCTGGTTTTCAGCCAGTGTAAGTGATTTCCTTTCCACGGGTTTTTCATATTGACGTAATAGTTTGATTCCTTTGACGCATGCTTGTATTTGCTGGCCGATCAGTTCGCACTTGATTCCCAGATTCGACGTAAAAGTCAAAGGTCGTAACGCGCCCGTGCTGAGGACCTTTGCATGTAGCAGACAGCCTACGTGCTCCGCTTTCGTCTCTCTTATTTAGCTTTTCGAATTGAGTATGCCAGCGTATCGTTCGAACTCGACTTTATTCATAGGTTTTCGCCTTGGGATCAACTTGTAGCCATTGTGGTCATCTCCAATTTCGGATTGGTCCGCATTGTATATCAGCTTATGCTTCCAGATTCTGTTGTGATCCACGTAGCCGCTCCGCTTCCTTCTCCAAACCAAACAAGTCTAGCAGAATCTCCCACGGTGATGGTGGTTCCGAGGAATTTTGAGTCTTGCCGTGATTCGGCCACAGCTGATTGGCTTGTCTGACTCATTTCTCATTACAGAAGAGTAGTAGGGGGTGTTGAATGGTATAAGTAGAAATTCGTCACATCTAGACTCACTCATACAGCACTCACACGCCCGGATGAGCACTGTACGCGCGTTTCATCCTTTCGGGAATCATCAATGTGACGAATTTCTACCTATACTATTCAACACCCCCTACTACTCTTCTGTAACCATTACGCAGACCAAACTGCTTATAATGCCATAAGTTAATTGGCCGCTTAAGTTTGGTAAGCTAGTCGCTTGGTGAGAGGGCTTCCCTGTACTCTGCATGGCAGTAACGTGTAAGTCAGTGGATAGTGAGCGGCGCTATATCACATCTGGTAGCTTATTCATGATGGCCGCTGCCGTGCCCCGTAGCTCACTTGTCTCAACCACGAGCTGGAAACAGTTGAGTTGAGGGTTCGAGCGCTACCAGGGTCCGATGAAATGTGCACTGCTGACGATTCCTGAAAGGATGCAACGCGCGTACAGTGTTTTTCCGGGTGTGTGATGGCTGTCTGTGTGAGTCCAGATGTGACGAATTTCTACCTATATCATTTCTCATTTCCTACCATTAACTCGTACTTGACTCGGCCGTTTTTGCGGATCACTCTTCCTGTCGACCACCTCCCTGGTCCTCGGAATTTTGTGCGTACACCGGGTTCCCAATTTTGAAATGACGCACGTTATCTGTCCGCTTTTCTCCCCCATGATAACTGCAATACTTTTCTTTCCTGCTTAGCACAACGCGCTTTGTTCTGGATACTGGTTTAATGACTGATCTGAGGTTCAGGGCAGCACTGATGATTCTGCAACATTCTGGACCAGGTTGGAGTATTGCTTCGTGGCGTCTATTCATATACATAGCTCGCATGAATTGCAACTGCTGACATATGCTGTTCACCGACTGGTCGAGCAAGTTCAACTCGTGTATCCAATCGATCCCCAACAAATGTAACCCCGCATGGTCTGTCACAAAGCACTTTGTGTGGATCCGTTGGCCTCAGAAATTGACTAGACTATTCAATTCACCAAGCAGTTTTAACATACTACTTGAAGCATTCCTTGCCGCATGGGTCGTTTGTATGAGTTTCGGCCGCCCCAACCTGCGCCACGTGTCGCTGGAGATCAGAGTGATATCTGAAGCCGTATCAAGTTGTAACTTGACTTGCCTGCCATTGATTCCCACCATGGTGTGCTTACGCCTGTTGACGCCATCAACCTTGTAAGTCGCAATGAGCGTTCTGATCCCATCGGGCCATCTGAACGGTGTGGCATTGTTGCGCTTCTTTCTGGACAGATAAAGACCAGGTGCCAAACAACACGACTCTTTATGACCTCTTCTGGCGCATCGGTTGTAAATGTGATTCTTAAATGGACAGTATCGAGAAAAATGTCACTCTCTACAAAACAAACAAGGAGAGGGAGGTTTGTAATGCGATGGACTCAGGTGAGTTAGTGAGTCCGGTTGACTACACAAATGAGGTCATGCTCGTTCGTATTGGACAATTGCTGAATCATTAATGTCTCATGCTTCAGGCTCGCCATTCACTGGCACTCTCCGGGCACTTGCTACAACTTGATGTCAGGATTCTGCTCAATCTTGCTCAGTATTCTTCTTCGTATGTGTTGGGTCGCCGTTGACGCCTTCACCCCACAACCGCAAGAAGTCCAAAGACGAGCCAGAAAGAGACTTGTATACATGAAATCACAGTTGCTTATTTAGTTTTGAAGGCAAAATGAAGGGAAGCTACTAAATTACACTTGAGCCAACCAACCGAAGGAAACACGTCAAGTGCAACGAGCGAATATGCAACCGTGTACTCAAGAGCGAATTGCATATGTCCTTAAAAGTAGTATCTTGGGACTCCAAGCGTAAAGCGAACATCCATTTACAGTGGCGGGCACTGGCCAATCAGAATAACGAAATGAAACGTGTAAACAAATGTCACGAAAGGAACGAGAATAAGAAATGTTGACCCAGAAATTGAAAACTAGTACAATAATTGTGTGACAACTAAATATTCCTTTAACCTAAGCAAATAGAACAGTGATGAGAAGAAAAGACCAATGGAATGTGTTCTTGCGAATGGCGCTGCTGCAAAGGACATGACGATGAGCGTCCATTAACAATGACATGGGTGTGCCAATCGGGCTAACCCAGTAGAGCGTTTAAACAACAGTCAAGAAATAGAAAATGGGAAGAGTAAAGTGTAGCTATTAAGCTCGTTCATAAAAAGATGAATGTCCGATAGCTGTTCTCCTAATAGTATGTCTGCATCTTTGGCTACTTGTAGGCCGCTAACATAAATAAAGAATTTGTATTGGTCGGCGGTCATTTTATGAAATTGTGAACGTTCACACTCTCGATTTACTCAGCTCGAATAGGTGACCCCATCTTCGTCACCTTTCTTGGTCATCGTGAGGCATTTTTACCGGATGTTGAGCAAGCATGTCTGCTCATTAAAAATTTGTGACAGAACTAAGACAACTTCATCCAGGGATAGGTCATTGCTCTTTTTGGACAAGATGAAATTTATGAATTTTTAATGTCAAGCCGCATTGAACATCCGGAGTCTCAAGCGAATTTTCCTCTCTTCTGGTACATTTGCGAAATCAACACTAAACATGTTTTCATACTTGTGAAACCAGGAAGTGAATGTCACGCCAGCATCAGCATCCTAATGGAATGCACTGATCTGCTGTGTCAGGTTTTCTGGAAAGGGGAAACTTGCACTTTCCCCTAACCCGGGGCTGGGCTGTGT